GATGTTTCGGGATTACCGAATAATATTTTTACCTGACACAAAATGCGTTACCCAGCAACACTACGACTCCGAAGGTTAGGCAACACTACGACTCTGAAGGAGGAGTAGTGTTGCCGGTGTCGCATTGAGTGTCAGGCGAAAGTATTAGGTAATCCCGAAACATCGAGTTGTATTCAAAAGATTATACAACGAAATAAAGTACATATATCGTTCTTATCTTAAACATTTTTATTATAATAATTATTATTTTGTGGAACTGACTTATTAATATTATCGCTCACCTGTTTACTCATGAGTACTTTTTGACATAATTAAAAGTCCCCACCACGATATTTCCACTAAAAACCCTACCAAACGTCCTCAAACTGCCCCATACCAGCACCTCGCGACCCTTCACACCGACGCGGACGGAGAGATCTTTCGCTTCACTAACTATTGATGGAAAATCGAATATTTTCATTAGATTCGATTCGAATTAATTCAATCTAGAAGGCGTCGCTGGGTGTCCAAATAGGGACACCAGTCAATGTCAGATGCGAGTAAGACCAGAGAGCGAGACAAGGATATGTAGCGTGGTAATACAATAGATATTAAAAAAGATAGATAGAGTGATGTTAGGTCTTAGTTTAAAATATTGAAACAATAATACAGCATAATACAATAAATAGTCTTCTGTATATAACGTTTACAGGTCTTGGGAGTAGCAAGATATAGCTTGCTGTGCTAGAGTTTTTGGTATTCTAGAGAAGTAGTAAAAATGTACCTACGTCCACAGTGCACCGGCTGGCTTATTTCGCGGTAGGTCTTATAGCTTTGTGAATTTGCGCCATTGAAGCAGGTAGTGGACATTAAAGGCTGATTCATGGTACACCGGGCCGTACCCGAGCCGAGCACGTTCCGTGCAGTAGACACCGGGCCACGTCCGGGCCTTCAATATATGCTACACCGAGTGGACAACGGGGATCATGTCCGTGCCGATTATATTCTAGAAAACAGTGTTGCCGCAGTGGTACATTTGTACCAAATTTGATACTTTTAATTCTATTTGGTACAGTGGTACTACATTTTCAAATCAGGATAATTTGGTACAATAATTATTCCCACGCGCACCGAAATTGAATAGATATTTAATAATTATTGTCGTTGATATTGCATTAAACGCGCTTACCGATACCATTCGGAGAAAATCCGCATTAATTAACGACGTATTATAAACGTTGTAATGTCTATAGCGTTGCCTATATTAAATAACCCGAAGAAAAAACTTGAAAATTTACTGTTTCTAACATGCTTCTATATTTGCGTTTTTTTTAAATAAAATTTAAGTTTTCCAAGTATTGTGTGTAGTATTAGAATTACTTAGAATTCTTCAACCTATACATACTTATAATTGGGTTTTCTGAATTTCTATTTCATGTTTTTCGTCTCGATTTGTGTCTTTCTCCAGGAAGTTTTTTTATGTAGAAATTTATGAAGAAATTCACAGCGACCAAACCGGTTAAAGTCATATGCAGATGTATTTTGTTGTGCTTTAAAAAATTGTACCAAAGTGGTACATTTTTAGTTTATAATGTGGTACGCGCTAAAAGTTGGGTGCGGCAACACTGCTAGAAAACAGCCGCTATAGGCCCGTAGATGAACGAAGTATTTAGCCCGGGCGACTCATTTATGTTTGCCGCAACGGGGCCGGACCGTAGCGGATCCGAGGAAAAATGTACACCGACATTTCTCGGACGGGGCACGGACGCGTTCCGGCGAAGCTCGGCCCGTGCTCGGCTTAGCATGAATGCATAAGTATAAATAACATTTGACAATGTTTGGCCGTGCCTTCACCGTCGCACGGCCCCGGCCCGTCACGGTGTACCATGAATCAGCCTTTATACGTATGCATTCATGCTAAGCCGAGCACGGGCCGAGCTTCGCCGGAGCGCGTCCGTGCCCCGTCCGAGAAATGTCGGTGTACATTTTTCCTCGGATCCGCTACGGTCCGGCCCCGTTGCGGCAAACATAAATGAGTCGCACGGGCTAAATACTTCGTTCGTCTACGGGCCTATAGCGACTGTTTTCTAGCAGTGTTGCCGCACCCAACTTTTAGCGCATACCACATTATAAACTAAAAATGTACCACTACAATTTTACAAATTTTTAAAGCACAACAAAATACATCTGCAAATGACTTTAACGGGTTTGGTCGCTGTGAATTTCTTCATAAATTTCTACATAAAAAAACTTCCTGGAGAAAGACACAAATCGAGACGAAAAACATGAAATAGAAATTCCGAAAACCCAATTATAAGTATGTATAGTATGTACCTTGGAAAACTTAAATTTTATTAAAAAAAAACGCAAATATAGAAGCATGTTAGAAACAGTAAATTTTCAAGTTTTTTCTTCGGGTTATTTAATATAAGCAACGCTATAGACATTACAACGTTTATAATACGTCGTTAATTAATGCGGATTGTCTCCGAATGGTATCGGTAAGCGCGTTTAATGCAATATCAACGACAATAATTATTAAATATCTATTCAATTTCGGTGCGCGTGGGAAATAATTATTGTACCAAATCATCCTGGATTTGAAAATGTAGTACCACTGTACCAAACAGAATTAAAAGTATCAAATTTGGTACAAATGTACCACTGCGGCAACACTGTTTTCTAAAATATAATCGGCACGGACACGATCCCCGTTGTCCACTCGGTGTAACATATATTGAAGGCCCGGACGTGGCCCGGTGTCAGAATGAATCAGCCTTTAGCCTTAACTCGGCAATACCATTTGACATCATGGAACTATCCCGTGGGGATCTATTATGTCTTTTTATTAGCTGGTTATAATATTCAATATTAACTGATACAAAAAAAATAATACTCACGTTCATGAAATTAATCGGTTTCATTTTTAATTTGGTAAATATAATACGTTATATACAGGGTGTCATTGAAATGGTGTAAAAAAAATTGGGGGGTGATAGTACTCCTAAAAATAGTAAAAACAGTTCCTATAAGTATAGGGCGGAAATGCATATTAAGGGAGTTAGGGGCACTGAATGGATGAATTTAAAAAACGTTTTTTTTGAAATTGTAGGCTTAAAAAACGAGATAAAACGTCGAAAAAAATCCACTGCCATAAATTTTGACCCTAAATCAAATGGTGATACTGAAAAATTATTTGGAAAAGCGGAAAGTGTAGGAGGTTGTTTCATGAATAACTTTTTTGAGGTTATTTTTTTTGCAACGTAGGTTTATTTTTTGAAAACTACATACTTTTTCCTACAAAAAGGTACTCTTATTGCACATCGCCCAGAGCGATGGTTTTCGAGAAAATTGAAAGCAAAGAGATTGCTCTGATGGGTTGCTAACTGGTTAATCAATATAAACTTATGAAAGTTATGGCGGTTCAAAAGTAACCAAGTAGTAATTAAATAATTAATTGAAAAATCAAAATTTCATGATTTTTAAAACATCTTATTGGTTTAAAAAACGAAATAATCCAATTACCAAAATTCCTTATTAACATAATGCATTCCTTAATTCATTCATAGTAAATGTTCAAAGTGACCACCATTCATTTCAATGTAGACATCTGATCTTCTTCTCCACGATCTGCGTACCCTGTGGAATATCCTTGTTGATGTCCGAATTTGATTGGAACAGTCAATAATGCGTTGCCGTAGTTGCTCTTCAGTATCAATCGGCACTGAGAAAACCAAATTTTTTTAAAAGCAAAAAATATTTTGTTTTTAAAGCAAATAAGATTTTTTAAAAATCATGAAATTTTGTATTTCCAATTAATTATATACTTGGTTACTTTTGAACCGCCATAACTTTCATAAGTTTATGTTGATTAACCAGTTAGCAATCCGTCATAGCAAACCCTTTGCCTTCAATTTTCTCGAAAACCATCGCTCTGGGAGATGTGCAGCACGAGTATAGTAGTTTTTGTAGGAAAAAGTATGTAGTTTTCAATAAATGAACCCACGTTGCAAAAAAATAACCTCAAAAAAGTTATTCACGAAACAACCACCTATCCTTGCAAAAACTACCCTTTCCGCTTTTCCAGATAATTTTTCAGTATCACCATTTGATTTAGGGTCAAAATTTATGGCAGAGGATTTTTTTTCGAAATTTTATCTCGTTCTTTAAGCTTACAATTTTAAAACAACCGTTTTATAAATTCACCCTTTCAGTGCCCCTAACTCCCTTTATATGTATTTTCCACCCTATACTTATAGGAACTTTTTTTTACTATTTTTAAGAGTACTATCACCCCCCGATTTTTTTACTCCATTTCAATGACACCCTGTATATGATAATTATTATCAATGTATTCTTAGAGGTCTACATCCAGTACTTTACCTGATATCGTCCTCTCTTAATAAAAATAGTCCAATTTCTTACATTTTTGATATAACATATCACATAGGTCTATTTTCTTTAAGGCACTATTTGAGAATAGATGTCTATATGGTTTATTGTTTATAGATAAAACAATACACCATACACCTTCTTGGTATTGTGTTGTACGACAAGTACTAATAAATATCATTGTATAAGGCGTTTAAATTAAAGATTGTTTATAACATAGTTGCACATTTTTGTAACACACATTTTGAAATACTTAAGTCGATTGAATGTCATGTCCAAATTATCAGATTTTTTACTTTTTATTTTTATGGAAAAATGTTTAAATTTTTTAGCAAAAATCTAATTGAATTAAAAATTAATTAATTATTTAATAATAGCAACAAAAAGAATCATTGAATGGTATAAATTTGTTCCCATATTCCTACCAATTATTGAAGAAACAAAAAACAACAATCCTTTTGAGATGAACCGCCTATTTAAAAGTAAACATATACTTCTTTAAATTCAAAACATTCATTTTTAAGACACTCTGTATAGGCTTGGTGCATTCTCCGCCGGTGCTGCCAACGCCGGAGAACTCGTAAATAACGAACGCATACATACAAATCTCTATCTATCTATTCAGCCTCTTAGATCCATCGTTGGACATAGGCCTCCCCCAATCTCTTCCACTCTTCACTCTCTGTCGCCGTGCTCATCCATCTTGTGCCTGCATGTTTCCTCAGATCGTCCGCCCATCTCATCTGAGGTCTTCCTCTACTTCTTCTATTCTCCCAGGGCCTCCAGTTTACGATGCATTTGTTCCATCGATCAACCTTCTGTCTGACATTGTGACCGGCAAACTCGTGTCTAAGTGCAGGGAGTACACATGGATTATATACTTTGGTTTTGAGGTACTGTGGATATCTTTTGTTTTTTAATATGTAACTTAATTTTCCAAATGCTGCCCAGGCCAGTCTTACTCGTCTCTTTATTTCAGCTGTTTGGTTTTCTTTTTTCAGTTTAATCATTTGTCCCAGATATATGTACTCTTCAACTCGTTCTATTTTTTCTTGGTTTATTCTGGTTGTTATGTTTTCATCTGTGTTTGTTATGATTTTAGTTTTAGTGTAGTTCATATTTAGACATATTCTTCTAGCTGCTGTATCCAGTTATTCCAGCATTTCTACCAGTTCTTCTTTCTTTTCTGTTATTAAGGCGATATCATCCGCATATCTTAGGTGATTCAAGTGTTGTCCACATATTTTGATACCTTTTTCTTCCCAGTCTAAATTGAAAAAATTTGAAAACGTATTCTAATGCCTGGTTAAAGTGTTTAGGTTTTTATTGTGTCACCCTGTCTGACACCTCTTCCTATGCGAAATGGCTTTGTTCCTTCGTGGATTTTAATTGTTGTTGCTGCTTTGCTATATATGTTATTGTTAATGGCTATTAAGTCTGCGTATCTGTAGTCTATCCTGCTAATTATTAAGGAATTTTTTACTGCCCAGTGCTCAATACTATCAAAAGCCTTTTCAAAATCTACAAATGCAATATATATTGGGATGTTGTATTCATTGGCTCGTTCTATTAGTATTTTCATAGTTAATAAGTGGTCAACTGTACTGTATCCTTTTCTGAAGCCTGCTTGTTCTTTTGCTTGGTATCCGTCAAATTTTGTTGTTAGTCTATCGGTTAATATTACAGCAACAAACGGCATAGAAACTAACATTAAAAATGACATTATAAAAATCACACAGATGTTCTATACAGAACTATACGAAACAAAACGGGAACCGCCGATAGACACCGTAAAGAAACTCCAAACAAAAATAAGAAACGTAAACTCAGAACTACAACCTGAAATAAGCAGATCGGAAATAAAGAGAGCATTGAAGAAAATAAAAAACAACAAATCACCTGGAAAAGACGGAATAACAACAGAAACGCTAAAGTACCGAGGAAAAGCTGTAGTTAATACTCTTTATATTATTCTCCTGAATAAAATCCTAATAGAAAAAATAATCCCAAACGACTGGAAGGAATCCATAACCACCATCCTACATAAAAAAGGTGATAGTGCAGATCTAAAAAACTATCGTCCTATCTAATTCCTTAACGTAATTTATAAGCTCTTCACGAAAATACATACAAATACACGGGTTTAAATGGCGAGTAAATAAAAAAAATAGTATACATTATTCTAAAAGTGTTAGAAAGTGTAATTTGTGGAAATTCTAAACAAAAAAATAAAAATGTAAATATTTTGATATCTTCCTAACCTAACCCAACCTAACTTGCATTATAATTTATTATTCCAGTTAAAAAAAAAAGATGAGTTCAACTAAGGTAGCGAGCATGGTTTCATCACGGTTTTGCTAGTTGGATTGGAGTTGTTTCGGTTATATCGAAATTTTTAAAGGTACATAATTTAGCCTGTGTTCTGCAATGTATGTTTTATTTGTAATTTTATGACGTAATTTTTTTTGAATTGATTTGTATTGTATGACTTTTTTTATTATCTGTATATTTGTTTTTGTGTTGTTTTGTTTTGCGAATGCTTTGTTGATGAAGCTGTTTGCTGTTGGGCTTTTTGTAAAATTAAGGGTTGTTTTTTTTTAATTTTAGAAGATGTTCATAAAACATTTAATCACTAGTTGATTAAAAAAGTATACCATTAATATTGCAAATTATATAGTATCTATCTATTTAATTTTTTGATTATGTACTCACTTGTTTCGTCGAACTGCTTGAATCCATTTTTGCTATTGATCAAATCGGCGTAAGAAATTATGAAGCTATAAAATGTTGTTTCAGGAGAGTTGAATATCCGGGAAAGTTGAGTTATTGAATGTTATTGCACCTAACAAAGCCCCTTTACACGTTAAAATTTTTTTGGGCAATTTTATTAACATTTGAAATTGTCACAACACAACAAGACGCCTAGTTCGAATTCTTTTTCACTCATTTTTTACTACCCGAAACAGCGTTAGACCACAAACCTCGTACCTGAGTGTTTTATAGTCTCAGTAACTGCACTAGCAGAAAACTAAAATATGTATTTAAATATATTATGACAAAACCCCGATTTCAATGTTATTACTTGAGTCTAGTCCCAGCAAGGCAACTATTAAGCTTGACCAATCACGTTAGAGTTTTTGACAAAAGCCGATGCAGAATAGCTGTGGCGCACTATATAATTTATTACAAACAAATAAAGAAAATCAATGAATATCTAAAAAACAAATATAAATTAGTAAAAACCAACCAGCCCCACCAACTAACCAACCCAAGCAGCATTTGGACGTCGGGACAACGTTGTGTCACGCGACCAAACGTCGGGGCGCAACGTCGGCACAACCTCTTGCCAACCCTAGTCTGCACTAGTTTGGAGAATAATTTTTGGGTCGAAACGACATTGGATACCGACGTTGGCTTGAAGCCTAATTTAGTACAAACTGCAACGTTGTTGAAAATCCTAATTCACAGAAATACAAAACTAATATGGCGTCTAAGTCGCGTTTTATCCTAAATTGGGATAATTATAGTAAAAATATTATTTTTATGATTTAGTTAGAGACATATGTCAGATGGCAGTGAAGGAAAACAAAACAAAAGTATTTAATATTCTATAACTTTAAAATTATATCTATTTACTGCGCGTACTGTTCTAAAAGTGTCCATGTATATTCTTTTTGTAATTTTGAAAATCCTAATTCACAGAAATACAAAACTAATATGGCGTCTAAGTCGCGTTTTATCCTAAATTGGGATAATTATAGTAAAAATTATTTTTTTATGATTTAGTTAGAGACATATGTCAGATGGCAGTGAAGGAAAACAAACAAAAGCGTTGTTTTAAATGTGGAGGATGTTTGAAGATCATAATTATTGATTACTTTAACCGACTCGATAACTCGTTACCCAAGGCAAAAAGTTAAACGCAAACAACTTTATTGATAAATGTATTGTTTCTACTTTGAAAAATACTAATGATAAGCACTTTTCAAAAATTAAAGAAGTTTTAAAAATTTTCTTGAATTTTTTTTAGTAAAATGAGAATAATTTATTCGCAGAAAAAAAAAAATTTGTTTCCGCGTGTTTTTAGGGTCAAATATTTCAAGTTAATGTACAAAAAAGCAGAATTGCTATTTTAGGAACGAAACATTTTTTATTTAACAACATGGCGGCTTTCACTTTGTTGTTTTGGAGATTAAGATGGAGTAGTTCGAGTAGTCGCATACTGGACAATAAAGTCGCAGTTCGGCCTTAACAGGTAGTATACTAGTCGCAAGATTGCCTAATAGTCAGTCTAGCTTGTGCCGTATCTATAATCTAAATAAACGAAAGTGGATAAACTATCGGTAATATATTATGTCGATGTATTAAATTTAGTTTTATATGTACCTTTCTTATGTCCCATTTTTAATTAAGTTTTTTTTATAAAAACAAAACAGCACTGAACTGTCTGACTGAACAGAACAATGAAAGTGAAAATTTAAGATTTAAGGTTATGGTTCAAGCTGACAAAAATATAAAAGTGACTCGACGTCCTACCAAATGTAAGCAATAAGGAAATCTAAAACAACGTTGGAATTAGTAAACAGACGACGTTTGCATAACGTTGAATAGGTCCTGAAACTGACGTCGAAAAAACTATATTGTCCAACGTTGTAACTACGTTGTCCGAATCACCTAAAGATCGCTTAAGCAAAAAGCATTACAAGACAACGTTTATTCGACGTCGCAGAAGCTTCCTACTTTGCTGTAGTACCGAGTCCAACGTCGGCTCAACGTTATAAAAAACGTTGCTGTGGCGCACTATATAATCTATTACAATACCCAAGGTAAAGAAAAATCAATTTGTAACTAAAAAACGTTATAAATTAGTAAAAACCACCAGCCCAAGTCCAACTAACCAATGAATTAACACCCTCCAAAAAAACACGCTAACCAAAGCTGTTGCCTTACCAAATAGTTACCTTGCTTGAGCTAGACGCAAATATATTATTGTAATGCGATCGACATGACGCGACGGCGCGGCGCGGCGGCGCAAAAAGGAGTATTTTTTAGATCTAGTTGGCCAAAATTGATTTCCGAAAATCACGCGTAGATAAAAAGATACGGTTCTCAAACAATGCCAGAGAGACCCCCCGCTCCGAACCCAGTGTTTATGGTGCCGCACTCCACCATAAAATCGAATGCATCAATCGGTTTTCGGACGTTAAACAGCCGTAACTGTTTCGAACTGTTTTCTGTGTAAAAAACGTGACTTTTAGAAGTGTTGTATATTTTTGGTGTATTCTCAAGACTAAAGTCTCATAGATTCTGAAATGGCAGGTAATTTTACCTTTATTTCCATATTAGGGTTTTTGTTTATTATCGGTTTCTTATGCGTTTATTACTTTATATTAAAAAATCTTGTACTTTTGTCTGTGTTATGAAAAGATATTATAACTGAAAGTGTTTTGTTGTACTTCAGGGTTCGTCCCGGTAATGATTTTTGTAGAGATGATAAATAAACAGTATTCCCTTCCTAAAAATCATATATTCAAGGTCCAGTATACTCCACCTATTGATTAATTAAATATTTAAAGCTTACTGTTTTGCAAAATGTAAAAAAAATAATAATCTCCTGCTGATCTGCTGATACTTTCTATGGTCTGTGGCATTCAAGTTATTAGTAATTTTGCATTTTCCTTTATTTTAGGACCATCTGGCCATTAGGGCAATGACTCGTAGAGAAATATTTGACTTGATGAGTGCACAAAATCGCCTCGATATTAACGAGAAGTTAGAATTTGTCGAAAATCATTTTGCAACATTGGAGCCTTATAGCGACGAACAAATTAAGGAAATAAAGCATAAATTTTCATATGTGAAGTCCGAAATAAAGCGTCACTGGATTGCAGCAAAACAACGACCGGACCAATTCGGGAAAAATAATCAGACATGGCTAAGGGGAGTGTTTGAGCTGCCAAAGTTACAGACAAAGCCAGGACGACCGAAAAAGTTATTTGAAGAGGCTAGCGAACGAACTAAAAGACGCAAGACTGAAGAACTTCGATTGTCTGGTAGTCCTAGTAAAATTATTTATGCATTTATCTTAGTACCTACCAAAATTATATGCTGTAAAGTA